ACAAACTCTATGAAAAAAATCCCCTGCAGATTGCGTCGAGATGGCTCAAAAATATCCAGTGGTAAAAATGAATGACATTCCACCTGCCTTCACGTCTTACGAGGGACTATATGACTGCATCACAAGGGACTACCTAAAAGGTACTGAAGTAGGAACTCTTAGGTGGTGCAATTCTACAACGGCTGTAATAAATCAGGATTTTCTCCCAGGTATAGCTATGCCCATCCAGCAGTATCCCAGAGCAGATGTGTGGTGGTATTGTGGCACTAAAACCTTGTACCCAGTTTTACCACGAGATTGGACGGGGACCTGTGCTATGGTACAGCTAGTGATGCCTTTTTATGCAGTACCAATGACGGCCGAGCAACTGATAAGAATGGCACTCCAACCCAAAGCAACCAGGGCCAAAAGGTCAGCCCCTAGAGGGAGTTTTGGTTCCACAGTATACATGGACAGCATAGGGGTGCCCAGGGGAGTTCCAGACGAGTTTAAAGCTAGAAACCAGATCCTTGCAGGGTTGGAATCCATTTTCATTTGGCCTACTGTAAATAAGAATGTTGACTGGATTAACTATATCTACTACAATCAGCAGAGATTCATGAACGACACCACAGACGCGCTTAAGGGGATGGAGGAACAACTGGAAAAAACCAGCCTGATGACTTTGCAGAACAGAATGGCTGTAGACATGATTCTGGCAGAAAAAGGGGGTGTATGCAAAATTTTTGGAACATTATGTTGTACTTTTATCCCCAATAACACATCACCGCACGGATCAGTAACTAAGGCACTGAAGGGACTCACTGCACTGAGCATGGAGTTGGCAGACAATAGTGGAATAGGAAAAAACCCCCTTGGGGATTTCTTTGATGGACTGGAAAATACAAAAATTTAGTACTGAGTGGATTAATGTCTATCTCGGGTATGGTTGTAATATGGGTACTGTGTTGTCTTTGTGGCATTACATGCATCCGCACTTTAGTTAACAGACTGATCGCCGCGGCCCTCACCCAGGAACACACTAGGGGTCAATATCTCATGAGGGGACAGTTTCAACTACTAACAGAACAAGACTACCCACCCCCATATACAGATCGTGATGTAAATGATGAGAGTGTGTAAAAGATGTTAAGTAATGGAGATGTTCGATGATGAGATTGTTCAAAGAATGTCCCAATGATGAGATTGTTCAAAGAATGTCCAAATGATGTGATACTTCAAATGATGAAATCATTTAAAGGAAGAACCAGCTACAATGCTAATATGAAGGGAATCAATGCAATTTACTATACTATTCCAAGATGGAGTATTCTTTATTACTTTATACTATTCCAAGATGGTGTATTTTTTATTTACTTTGTACTAAAAAAAAAAAAAAAAGTTTGTTTCTTTTATACTTTGTAAAAACAAGTGCCTTAACACTGAATGTAGTATGAGAAGGATTTCTGTGAAAGGAGGGAGTAAGAAATGTTCTGATACCAAGCTAAGTGGTGCTATTCATGATATTGAAGGTTAACACTAGAAGTTATGCACAAAGAAAATTTTTATGATTGAAGACCAGCCAAAGTATTTTTTTACTTGTTGTATTTTTTGTATTTTTGATGATGGTTATTTAAACCATTACATTTATGATTGTATGTTTTTTGATATGCGATATGTACTATGCACAGTTCAGATGAAGAACTCATTACTTTTAGTATTATGTTCACACCTTAAAAGGTGTGAAAGGAGGGATTGTTAGAAATTTAAAATCAATGTTTACAGATGAAGAACTCATTAATTTCAGTATTGTGTTCACACCTTAAAAGGTATGAAAGGAGGGATTGTTAGAAATTAAAATCAATGTTAAAAGCATAATTGGTCTAAAATATATCGTCAGTTTTAAAAGCTGTTTTATTGTGAAAAAACCCGGAAGTTCTCAGTCTCAATGCCAAGCTTTTATTCTGAAAATCCTTCATATCCGGTCAGTACGTAGCATGTCGTAAAAGTGTTTCTAGGACTTCTAAACTAACGATTACAGCTGTTTATAAGGTATTAAATAGAAAGTCATGACAGAGATAATGAGGAGAAAATGCTTAAGGAAGTAGGCAGAGAATATCAATGTCGAAATCATCTGTGCTCTCGCGATATCGAACCGGCAAATGAGTAGGGAGGGCCATGGATGTATAATAAGAACTGGATACAGCGTGGGAGGCGGGGCCTCATTCATTCCTATGAGAGTTGCTCATTCGCGCATGATGATAAAATGGCCCAACTTTTGAGAGAGCGAAACGTCACAGATTACCCGGCATGCCTGAGAAGTACCCGTATGTGCGCTCATAGCGCATGCGCAACTTTAACCATGCCCCCCAAAATGCTCGTTCACATCAAGCACGTCAATTTGCGTACACGTAACAGCACCGCACGTTCATGACAGCATGGTAATGTTTGTTATGATAGATTTGATATTAACGAGGCGGCAGTTAGCAGCTAGCGGTTAGCTAGTAATTATGCTAATTTACACATCAATCGTTATGTACTTTTATATTACGCTGTAACAGGATCTAGTGATATCCAAGCAACAGAGCTTCATTTAGCATGAAAGAATTATTGCACTGTATATATATATATATATATATATATATATACACACAGTGCAATAAGCTTCTTAGTGCAATAAGAAGCTACAGGGACGTTAATCTACGTCGGTAATATTAACTTTATTTAATACAACATTTACGGTACAAGATTTAATCATACAGCCCATGTAGTATAATATGTTATAAATGATGAATTACAGCAAACATGTGCAATATATCCATTATTACAGCTCCGTGGGCTGGCAGTAAGGCGATATGGGTCCGTTCTTATTGTGCATCCATGGGTAAAGATAAACGCATGTAGTGCTGAACACGTAACATGAACGTGCCGGGCGGCGCGGTCCCGTGGGTTAGATGCGCGTTCATAATGCAGAGGGAAATAACTCTCAGAATAACGTTATTAGCACATTTTACAACTTGAGGAACGAATGTTTTTAATAAGGGCTATACAAGTGTTCATACTGGGTAGTTTATTTAGTTTTAAAAAAATTATCCAACGATTTACAGACCACTCTTTCCCCATGTAAGTCAATGGGAAAAAGTGTTTCCGGGCCTGGCAACCAAAAGGAAGTGTAGTACCGCCGTTTGGCCAGCACGAATATTTTCATCAGAGTCCGGCGCACTTCCTGGGGGCTTGGGGAGGGCCCACTATTGCACAGCGGGAGACAACGAGACATGGATAAAAACAGCAGACAGAGGACCGCTCCGCCCTTCTTCGCTGCAGCCACTCTGAAGACAACACCGGCTTTGTCTTTTCCTTACCCTCTGCTTGTTGTATCATCGTGCCATTTAATTAAACTCACCAATTTGAACCTTTTCGGAGACTCCATTAGTCTCTCTTCATTCTAAGCTCCTCTCCTGGACGCGAGAACATCGAATACTTCTAAAACTATCTAGTTAGGTGCGCGTTCACATGAAAGGGGTTGTATTTGGAGCATTCGACCAATCACAAACATGGACAAGCCGTGTACTGACAGCGCAGCGCGTCATATATGTCCTGAATGAAAAGTCAACTAATATTAGACAAATATGAAGACGTTAAACTTTAAACATCCATGACTTAAACACTTTATCCAGGATAAAGCCACATAGTTGCAGCTGCAAGGTGAATACTGCTGGTAAAAGAAAAAGTGTTTGAATACGTTCATTAACAGTTTTATGATATCACTGCTGCCCCGTCCAAGACACGAGTGGATCTGACTTTAATTACATTTGACTCGAGTGTCAACTTAATGTGTTGCTTAAAATAATACTTCTGCATACAGTATGTGACACTGTGAGTGTTGCACGGCCAGATACGGCTCAAGAAGCTGACTCAGATAAGGCAATAATATATGATACATTATGATGTGATATCATGTGATATGAATGATAATGGGGTACGTCTGCATTCACAGTGCCGCGGACTGTAGGTTACTTATGTTGTGGCAGATATTTAAGTAAGCTTTCTTAACGCTAATGTTATAATAGTCAGATTGCTCTGAAGATGGGAGGTGATATTCTATTCATTTTCACGTTCACACAGTCGGTGATTTTGGCCGGCTGTCTTTCCTGCAACGGCAGTTTAAACTGTATTTCCTTTCTCCTCCTGTCATATGAATTGGTCGCTTTAAACTCCGCACACTGAGCTCTGATTGGTCAGCAGGCAGTGCTTTTATCCTGGAACCTATCCTGCTCCGGAGGATAGCCGTTCAGAATAAGTTATCTAGCCCGCTAAAAAGTGAACCAGCTTCGTAGGACCGGAAACCCCTGAAGTTAGCTTGCTAAACGAAAATCTTGATTCGTAGTATAGCCCCCAGGCCTCTGGATTGAATTCACATGATAAATAAAAGCAGTAAATTAAATAATTAAAATTAGTTCCACCTTTACCAGCTGTGATAATCATATTATCAATAATTATAATCATAACATAGCCTATGATTCTGAAATGGGCCAATCTGTATAATGAGTACTTATGGTACATTAAGTATTTTTATGCCAATACTTTTCTACTTTCCCTTGAGTAACATTTTGATTGCAGGACTTGTACTTGTGAAAGAGTATTTCTACACTTTGATATTTTCTACTTTTACATTGCAATCGCTTTTACATTTACTTTGTAAGAAAGAAACAATTGAAACGAAGGCACAAGGATTTTTCTGCCATGGTGTGAATTGAGTTTAAAATATATATACATTGTTAAAGCCCAAGTAGTCTGATGACTCCGTGTGCATGCCATGGTATAGCGAAACAACGAACAGCTGCTGCAGCTGTGCTACTATAGCCTAATGTATAACTTCATGCACCTACTTCATAAGTAGGCATATTTTAAAAGACTCTTCATGCAATATGTAAGCCTATTATATTTTCCTTTTTATTTGCATATATCCATTTCCTGTAACGAAGTAAACCCCCCGCTGTGTGAGGAAGAAAGTATTTCTGTTTACAAATTTACCGCGGCATTAAAACATAAACAGTTCGGTGTCACGTGGCGTTTTTTTCTCGGATCACGTGCCATGGTTCTTAAATTCCATTCGAGAAGATGACGTCATATGGTGAGCCCTCGATACGAATCCAGTCAGTGTTCCTAAACTCATCTCAGTCACAAACACACACAGAGTTGTTTGCAGAGAGAGGCATTTTCTAAATAATTTCGAAAAACCTGATACATATATCAACCTTAGTGAGCACAACTGTTGCTACAATGCCTCGGTAAGTACTTTAGTCCGTTTTTTCTTGTATTTTAAAAGGTCTATGCAAGATACATTTTGCAAGTCAACTTCTTTGTTTAATTGGCCTCAACTTGTGTTTTTTAATGTTTTGGACTTGTATTGATACTTACCATTTGCTAACAGTAATATAGGCAGCTGACATCATTACTTTCAGATTTCTTAGCACTATGGGGGGGTTGAGTCACTTTATTTTCCACTCCATCAATGTTTCTGGATATAGTTTATCTCCTTTTATATTTTGTTGTCATAACTGTTGCATTAATAGTGCACTAACGTTCATATGTGCCTTTCAGACGAACAAGGAGGACAGCTCCATCCAGACCTAAACAAAAGGTGTATGGGCCCCCCCCACCAACACGTGAGGAGGAGTGTGCTCAAGAAAATGACTTGATCGAGATTCTCAAGTCATTCGGATGCTTTGAGAGCGACGTGGAGCTGAGACACAGGTGAGATGCATATTTATATATCTCATCATTAACATGTAACTAATACAGCTTTGAGTAGGCTTATGATTTTTAGGGTACAGTCATTTCAGGGGGGGGGGGGATATTCCTTTAAAATACCATAAACAAGCAAATGCCTAGGTGAAAGAGACCACGACATGCTTCGCTTCAGAGGAATTACAAAGTCTGAAAATGCTCTTTGTGTCTTGTTTGCAGAGAGAATGTGGTCCAGAGACTGGAGTCACTGTTCAAAGAGTGGCTCATAGAGATGTGTCTGCAAATGGTAAGACATCTATCTTTATAAAATATTGTTCTTTCAAAAGTAACTCCTAAAATTATACTCGAAATGTGTTATTGGTTTGGTAACATTTTCTTTGTTGTTGTAGAATTTACCAGGCATTGTCCCGCAGAAGGTTGGAGGGAAGCTCGTCCCTTTCGGCTCCCATCACCTGGGGGTCGCCTCGAAAGGCGCCGACATCGACGTCCTCTGTGTGGGACCGGGTTTCCTCCAGAGGAAGGACTTCTTCTCCTCTTTCGTTAGAAAACTGAAGAGGCAGAGAGAGGTCAAAGACATACGGGTACGTCTATAAGACATTCATTATGACAAGTTACTTTTTTTACCCTGTTGCAAGTTACTGACTGTTGTTGTCTTCAGGTCATTGAAGAGGCATTCGTCCCTGTCGTTAAACTGACCTTTGAAGGAATTGAGGTAATTTGACCTAAGAAGAAAAGTTGTCTCTGCAGTGTGCAGTATTCTTCAATCAAAGGTTTGTCAGCATGTGTATTCATCTTTGTTTGTGTGCTCCTGTTACATCCTAGATAGACTTAGTCTTTGCCAGGGTGGCCAGGAACAGAGTCCCACAGGAAATGGACCTGCTCCGAGAGGATTGGCTACAGGGGACGGACCTCCACTCTGTGAGGAGTCTGAACGGTAAGCATCATGTTAGAGACCTGCTGGGACATCCTGCAGCATTAGTACCTGACAGCTGAACCCGTCTGGAACGTTTTTGTGATGTATTTTGGTCTGCCTTTTTTACAGTAACTCTTTTGATATTAATCTTTCTCTTGTTTGTTTTTTGTAGGCTACAGAGTAACAGAGGAGATCCTCAGGCTCGTGCCTAATGTTCAGAACTTCAGACTCGCTCTGAGGACCATAAAGCTCTGGGCCAAACGTGAGTTGAGATCTCTCTTTGTATGACTAAATAAATCAGAAAAAACTAAAACAGCCATAAACCTAATTGACTCAATCTGCAGTGGGTTAGAGCAGATTAGATCATGCCAGTGTTATCATGAGGTAACATTGTGAAGTGGAGGTCTTAATCTGTTCTCTCATCCTCTTGTTTCTCTTCAGAAAGAAACATATACTCAAACTCTTTAGGTTTCCTTGGCGGTGTTTCCTGGGCCATTCTGGTAGCCAGAATCTGCCAGGAGTACCCGAACGCCTCAGCCTCCACCCTGGTCACAAAGTTTTTCAAGGAGTACAACATGTGGTGAGTTGTCCCATTTCTTCAGCCTTCTTTCCAATAAAACAGAAGACAAAAAATCCACTAAACCATATTTGTATAAATCTTGTTTTGTGACAGGAAGTGGCCAAACCCCATCATGTTGAGGGAGTTAAAGGATTGTCATTTCAACCTTCCTGTGTGGGATGCAAGGGTAAGGCCACTGCAGAATTTAAACTATAAATATAAAATATATCAGTTAATTAACACATTTGCCCAAAAGCACATGAAAGATGATGTTGTGTTCTTCTGCATTTTCCAGGTTAATCTGGCAGACCGCTCCCACTCTATGCCGATCATCACGCCGGCATACCCAATGCAGAACACTGCTTTCAACGTGACTCCCTCCACCTTGGCCATCATGAAGGAGGAGATCCAGCGTGGTATGTCTCCACTCAGACATCCATCATATGCTCACAGTGCACAGTCTCAGAGCTGTCCTGTTGTTTATAATCAGTTGGTCAGAAATAAGCATTTCAACTTCAATCACTGCACTGTACTTTGATTAGGTTGCCACGATTTAGCAATGTTTAACTCACATCTTTAAGAATATTACAGGAAATCATGCACACAAAGAGGAGATTCATTTTTTTAACAAGCTTTCCCTTCCTCTCTCACAGGCCACACTATCGCCGGCTGGTCCCAACTCTTTGAGAAGCCCAATTTCCTCAGGAAGTACAAGTATGTAATAATCTGCCCAAATATGAACATGTGTATTAGCATACGCAACATATACTTTCTTAAATATTGACATCTCCACCAAGTTTATTAGTCATTCTTAGCTCTGATATTTTATACATTTTTGTATCTGTCTTGATGCCTAAAGCTTTTTCTAATAGTATAATTATGCTTTCAAAGAAGGCAGATCTTTATATCTGATGTTTTGTCACGTTGTTTTTTCTTAATGAAGATGGAACAGTGTTCACACTGCATAAAATACTGTTCTGCTTATTTTCATCTGAATGATGTATTTGTTTTCACAAGTTGTGCTTTATAGTGCGTGAATTGGTATTTGAGTTTATATTAATGTGAGTTAGTTGAGGCAGAGTCTTTATATATTGCATACTGTAACTGATGGATTTGTTGTTTTTAACTGACTCTCTTTTGACCTAAACCCAAACTCTTCAATGACTTTTGTGAATGAACGTGCAGATGTTTGTAATTTGCTGTTTTTTTCTTTGTAATGTGTGACTGATTTGAATTTGTATTTGATTTGAATTGTTGAATCCCAGTTTCTTAATGAGGGTGTATATGTGGTGTTGTTGTTTACTGTTATTAACTGAACATTAAAGGTCCCATGTCATGCTTTTCCGGTTATTACCCGTCCCCTTGTGTGTTATGTAGCTTTTTCTGCATGTCAACGGTCTGCAGAGTCACAAACCCTCAAAGTACACCCTGTAGCGAGAACACAGAAAATACCTCTCACCCCACGCAGCATTCTCATCTGTTTGTCATTGCTGGTGTCATTTTCTGGTTGCTAACAAACGCCATTGTAACACATAAACACACATCAGAGCACTGTGGGCTCATAGGGAGGGGGGAGGGGGGAGGGGGGGGGGGGGGCAGGAGCTCCAACAAGGCATTTAGGACAGAGAGTGAATACACATACTATACAGAGATGCTGTATGAGAAACCAATGTGAGTTTGGAAAATTGAACAATGTAAATCTATTCTAGTAGACTTCAACAATGGAATTATGATCAGTAGAAATGGCCATGACATGGGACCTTTTCAAGTAGTGTTGAGAAGTTTATCATGTGTTTTCTATAGTTTAACCTATAAGAAATATTAAACCTTATTTAATAGTTGAATGCTGATTGTTTTATGTGCAGACCAGGTTGTGCTGCTTGTTGTTATTCATTCAAAATGTGGAGAAAAGCTGATTTAAAAAGCTGTTAACGTGTTCTGTCTGACTTTAATTAGTTGTTCCTGGAGTTCATAATTTTTACTGCATTTGTAATATTGTCCAATTCAATAAATCTGCCATGTGATATGATCCCTCTTGTTTTATTTGGACAAATGTGGACCTTTATTTCTGGGTTTTTAAAGTTGGACAGTCAGTACAGGCAGTTTCCTTGATCTATCTAAAGATGTGTTTACCAGCTTTAATAAGAAGTGAGCAGTTGTGCTGTTGAGATTTAACATTAATGACACAAATGCAAATTCAACACAGTACCACCTCACTTTAAAAGGTTTTAAATGGTTAAAAAATGGGTTGTAATGAAGAATAGTAACCTGATTTTAGTGATGTTATGCAATATGCTGTAGCTTGGCCTGTTTTAAATATCAGAAATACCTTCAACTATGACCGTTGTTCAAACAGGTTTAATATTAAAATGAATATGATTAATGTAAGGCAAGGCAAGGCAATTTTATTTATATAGCACTTTTCAGCACGTGGCGATTCAAAGTGCCAGCCTTTGCACAAAGGCTCAATGCTGTGACGTATTGCAACTGTTGTCTCTTATGTTTCTAGGCATTATGTTCTGCTGCAAGCTACTTCAGCTACAGAGGAGCAGCATCCTGCATGGTAAGTACACTTTAAGTAAAACTTGAACGGATTTAGGCATTTTTGTCCACAATGAGAATGTTTATTTTTCTCTGAATCAGAAAACAGGTTTAACATTGTATTTCCACCAACTGTAGTGCTCTCTGAAACTGATGTTTTGTTCAATCTGTCAGGGTTGGCCTGGTGGAGTCTAGAATCCGACACCTGGTGGTAAATCTGGAGAGAAATGTGTTGGTGACCCGGGCCCACATTAACGTCCAGTCCTACCCTGAACGCAGCACGGGCAACGCCAGGTAAGGACGAGTGGTTTTATGGTTATATCTGAGTTGATCTATTGAGTGTTATTCATTTACGAGAAATTAAATAATGTAATAGTAATGTTTTACTCTGTCCACTCATTGGTGTGTACTTCTTCCTGTTTCTGAGAGGCAATCAGTACAAGCTGATAATTTCTCTTAAGCAGCAGCCCTTTCTTTACCAACTCAACTCATTGGTGTGTATTTCTGTTTCAGAGCGCCGGTCAGAACAAAGTGGCTGATTGGACTTGTGTTCAATGAAAAGGGGGGGCCAACACCTGTCAATTGACCTGACCCCCAATCTTCAGCGCTTCAGTGACATCGGTATGTTTACTTTTTCTAAATTCAGAAGAAATGGAGCAATGTCTTGTGAACTTATGAATCTTATTTGTATGTTGTGCTGCTGCAGTCCACAGTGTGGCAGGTCGCTGTCAGATGTTCAGAGAGGGGATGAGCACATCAGCTCGATACATGTCCCAGAAGGACTTCAGCTGGGATCTGCCTCAGGAGCCTGGCAGGAGGGTTATCAGTGAAGAGCCGCAGCCCTCAGTGAGCACCGCTGCTCCATCTCTGACGAGTCACCAGGCGACAAAGAGGTCTCGTTCGCCTCACTCAGAAAGTTCCAGCAAGAAGTTTAAATCTGACGAGGGGCCAAGCGAGGAAGTCTGTCTCAGCCAATCAAAGAGTGGAGGTCTCAAGAGAGCCCGCACTCCTGAGTCAGAGTCACCGAGCAAGAGGGTCCGAACTGATCTGCTGAGGCCCGCTGAAACCTGAACGACAAGGAGAGCCCCCCCCCAGCCTCCATTCATTTCATTTTTGTAAATAGATGTATATATTTTATTATTTGTATATACATGTAAATACCTGTATAAATGTACAATATATGTAAATTAAATATTTATTTGCAAAATACACATGAAACAAAACTAGATGTATTTGATTCCCTTGAGTGCACTTGATGAAATTGTATTGTAGTTTTGGTGTGATTCAACAACACAAACGTATTTTCACTGCCATCACACCATTGTATTATATTCAATTAATTCCCTGAAAGTCTTCAGGAATTACTAATCACAAAGTGATGTAGAACAAACCTTAAACACACTTCATTACAAACGACCGCAAAACGTCTAAAGAGACCGTAAACTGACCCAAAGGTACTGTAAACACAGAGAAGCAGAACTAGATGCAAAACGACCACAAAGACAAACGAAAAAGGCAAAAAATCAGAGGTGTAAAGTAACTAAGTAGATTTACTCAAGCACTATACTTAAGTAGAATTCTGAGATACTTTTTGTTGCTATTTTGTACTTATACCCCAAGTACAATTTAGAGGAAAATTGTGTACTTTTACTCCACTACATTTATTTAATATCTTTAGTTATTTTGCAGATTTGAATTAATAATGTGAAATATGATCAACACTAAAATACTAAAACTGAACCTTTACCAGCTTTGATAAAACTTATAATCAAAACATATATTATTCTGAAATGGGTCAATCTGCATAATGAGTACTTTTACTTTTGGTACTTTAAGTATATTTTGTTGCCAATGTTGTATTATACTTGTAACAGAGTATTCCTACACTTTAGTATTTCTACTTTTACTTAAGTACAAGATTTGAGTTCTTCTCCCACGTGTGTGGAAAGGCTTTCTACCAACTTGTTCTTGGCAAAAAGACAGCTGATTAAGCCACACAGGATATTACGCAACTAATGCTTTGTAACTTAGTACAGACATGCAGCAGGAATTACTTGGAATTTCATCGGAATTGTGATTCCAGTATATTAATGTGATTGAAGTACTGTTTGGAGACAGTGTTATCTTATATAACTGGAATTGTGTTATCTGTATGGTTCTAAGGAAGCAACATAAATGTGAACAGATGTAACTTTGGTGATGCACTCCCATCAGCCTCAGCTGAATTTTGTGTAAAGTGCTGATTAACCAATGGGGATTTTCTGGTTCTGTCTCAAGCATCTTGTTTATTTAAAGGGTCAATACTCAAAGATCCAAGCAGAGTTTTAAATACTTTTGAGGTTTTTGAGATAATGCCTCTTGCTGATAAGATTTATCAGCAATGTGAATACTTTGATTTGTGGTGCTCAGAGACACATTTCAATTGAGAATCATGGTCCAATTCTGAGGAGAATATTCACCTGACGGTATACAATTTCAATAAAAGATTCCGATATGACATTCACCTCCATTGTAGGTGTATGGAGGCATACATTTTATAGTCAAGGTGTCAAAACCTAAACAAAGCTGCAGCATATTATACGTTGTTAAATGCAATCATTTTAAAGTGGACCTATCATGCTATATTTGAATAATATAGTGTAGGACCATACCTATATAAGGCATATTTACACTTTTTTTTTTTCAAAATACCAAACAGATCATGCATATGTACTACAGCGTCTCCAGCGCTTTCGAACGGCAATGGCCGTGGCTGTCTCCTCCTGATTGGTGGAGTTGGCCCAATAGCCGTAGCGCCACCGTCCTGACGTCAGGACAGTGTTCAAATCTGGATCAGTTTTTATCAGATCCGTTGCAGCCCCTTTTTTAGAGATTTGGGTATGGAGGAAAATAGAGAGGGTTGTGTTTTCTGACACTTGGTGAGTTCCCTGGAACACCGGGGACACATATTCATGTATAAAAGACGTACAAAAGTGCATTTTGCATGATAGGTCCCCTTTAAGTCATAATCAATAATAGTGTCAGCTAAACGATTCACACTACATATATTATTGAAAAGACATCGGTTTACTTCTATCAAAATCCATCAACAGCGATTACGAGGAGAAAAACCTTTATCTCCCTCCAGCTGGAAAGTTACCATCCCTGTGACTAGCATGTTAGCATGCTGACAGATGTAGCTCCAAGCAAAGTTGCTAGCATGGTTGTAGGCTGCTAGCCTTGCTATGACTTATCCCCCAGCAGCATGTTAAAAGTAGCAGTTAGTGTAATTGGTACACATTGCATTGTGTAGAGCATTTTAGGACATTATTAGAGGTGGAAAGTAATTAACAATACTCAAGTACAATTTTGAGATATTTTTACTTGAGTAATTCCATGTTTTGCTACTTTGTACCTCTACTCCACACTCAAATTCAGAGGCAAATGGTGTACTTTTACTCAACTACATGTCACGATCTGTCTGTGTTGTGTTTTGTCTTGTCTTTTTCTGTCTTTGGTTTCCTGTTTTATTTTGAAAAGTGTTCACCCCCCTGTCTTGCCTGTTGCTTTCTGTCTGTTTCCCCCCCTACCTGATTACCCGATTGTGTTCACCTGGTGCCCCTGTGTTTTCTCCTCCCTCCTCACCTGTGTCTTGTTTGTGTGGTTATTCTTGTGTGTATTTAAGTTCTGGTTTTTCTGTCTGTCATTGTTAGTTCCTTGTTTGTCTGTGACTGTGTTCACGGGGTAGTGTTCTGTTTGTCACAGTGTAAACCTTGAAATAAAGGTATTTTCTGTGTAATCTGCATTTGGGTCCTGCCTGCTTCACTCAACCCTGACACTACATTTATTTTGTACCTTTAGT